TCTACACCAGGAATCCTTTTTGCCTATTTGTGCTAAGCACTTTCACATACCCTGGATAAATTCCTCAAATCAAATTAAAGCCACACACATTTGCCTGGAACCACAGACACTTGCTTCAACAAACCTTATGGCTCTAATAAAAACTACAGAGCAAAAAAGAGTGCAACCCACCAGACCAAAGTACTGAATACTTTAAATAATGAGTCTAATATTTGAATAATTCATAGATTAAATCTGGGCTGTGAAGGTCTGAGAAATCTTTACAGCTAAAGGGGTCTGTGATTGTATATGTGATTGTCACAAAACAATCAGCAAATTACCCTATAAAAATAATTTGTTGCATAGATGCTAAATATCAAAACAAAAGTTCAGCTCAAAACTCTCAGATAGTCAAGACAACCAGCCTTAAGGTTTCTTCAAGAAAGTGTGAAAGTGGATCTGATTCTCTATCACGCTGCTGAAAGCATCTATCAGTGATATATTAAAACAGTTGCGCCGATTTACAATGGCATTGATGGCAATATTAGTATTAAAGTTTAATCTTTGGAACATGTTTGTGGATAATGTAGGAAACCATTAACCAAAGTGAAAACAGACCAACATGTTGATTAAATAAGTTTAAACTACAAAACTAAATTCTGACTTTCATTACAAAATAATTCTTGGACACCACTGAAGATCACATGTGAATTATAAAGATTAATATACAAGTCATTCAGGACGGATTTTTCTTTTAAGGAGGGCAGTTAGCACAGTGTGAAATGGATAAAGTTTAATACACAAATCACATTTCATATAATCTGGCTAATGATTGTATTTTCGTCATACAGACATTTGCAAATATAAAAATTAAGTACCCACACTGTATATCTGTATGTGTTTTAGCTGTTGTTCTTAACAAATAAGTAGAGTATTTGACTTAATAATATAATATAATTAATAATTGCTCTTAACACTTAAATCACCTGACAACAGGTGAGATATGGAGTGATTCTTACAAATGTGGCCCTTCTCTGTATAATCAGAGGCATTATATGATGAATACAGAAGGGATAAGAGTCCTACCTGACACAGTCACTCTCATAGTGGCCTCCAGGGGTCTGTTGTTGTCCAAGTCTTTGCTCAGCTTCAGCTCTCCTGTGTCCTGGTTTAGAATCAGCAAATTGAGCTCATTCCCCTCTACAAAGGTGAAGAGGAGCTTATCAGACACGTCTGGGTCATGTGCAGGAACCTTACCAATGACACCTACAGGGAAGCTATTGGATTTATTAGTGATGTAGTTGTTAAATATGATCTCAAAATCCTGCAGAATGGGGTAGTTGTCATTAACATCCACAAGGCGAATGTGTACAATGGCCCTGCTCACCAGTGGGGCGGATGTGGCCTGAACTACAATCAAGTACTCCATCTTGGTCTCATAGTCCAGATCAGTGAGAGCAATTAAATCCCCATTAAAGATGTCCAGCTGGAAGATTTCAGGAACATTACCCTCGACAATCTGATACAGGATTTGAGCATTTGTTCCCTCATCAGGATCTGTGGCACTGACACGCGCCAGAGTGGAACCCACAGAGCTGTTCTCCTCCACGTAGATATATAACTCATCCTTCTCAAACACAGGGGCATTGTCATTAATGTCTAGCACTGAGACTTGGATATCCACTGCTGCTTTCAGAGGGGGGACTCCTTTGTCCACTGCAAAAACCTTGAGGTTGTAGGTGGCTACATTTTCCCTGTCCAGCTTCCTGGCTGTTCTGATTATCCCTGAGTACGGCTCAATAAAGAAATCACCATCACCATCATCCCCTCCCTGAAATGTATAGCTCACCCTGCCATTTGAACCTGAATCTCTGTCCGATGCAGAGATTTGAAGTACACTTGTGTATACAGATGCATCCTCAAACACAGTGCCTTGGTAGATAGCACTCAGAAACTGGGGTGCATTGTCATTGGCATCAAGCACTATGATCTCTACATAGGTGGTGTCAGACTTCTGGGGAATGCCATTGTCTCGAGCGATGATGGCCAGTGTGTACGAGGCTTGATCTTCATAGTCAATCTCGATCTGAGTTGTAATGGCACCAGTGTCAGGGTCAATTTTAAACTGAGGCACGTTGTCCTCCATCACATAAGTAATGCGTGCATTCTCACCAGTGTCTTCATCTGTAGCACTGATGACCACAACAGTGGAACCCACAGGCCTATCCTCACTCAGTAACACTTGGTAGTTGGCACTCTGAAACACAGGCCGATGAGTGTTGGCATCGGTAACATTGATGAAAATCTGTGCTGTGTCAAAGCGTGTACCGTCTGAAGCCATTACAATGAGAATATATTGCCGTTCCTGTTTGTAGTCCAGCGGCAAGGCTAAAGTAATAAGCCCACCACCGCTCTGACTGGTGATGGCAAACCTATTCCGTGTGTTCCCACTAGATATCTGGTAGGTTACCACACTGTTCACATCCCTGTCAATGGCTGTGACTGTGAGCACACTGGCCCCCACTGGAGCATCCTCATTAATCTTCAGATTATACAATTTCTGTGAGAAGGTAGGAACATTGTCATTCACGTCCAACACTGTTACACTCACACTGGCTGAGGATGACATCACAGGAACTCCATGATCCCTTGCCTCCACACCAAAAGTATAAAACTCGGTTGTCTCTCTGTCCAGCTCCATACTGACTGTAACCCACCCTGTACTATTGTTGATGATAAAGGGAAAGCTAGGTGATGTGTCTGTGAGTAGGTACTCCAAATGAGCATTATTCCCCGAATCTGCATCGATAGCTTGAATGTGTATCACAGAGTAACCAATGGGAACATTCTCCAGCACTGAAGCTTGAAAAGGTGTGCTGACAAACATCGGAGCATTATCATTCACATCCACGACCTGCACAACAACCATACCTGTGCTGTTAATGAGAGGTGGCCGACCACCATCTTGAGCTTTTATCCGCAAATTATACTCCCTTATTATCTCATAATCAAGAGGGTTAATGACATCAATGACACCTGTTGGGGAATGAATGTAAAACTGTCCCTTTACATTCCCACTGATTATGCTGTAATGTACTTTAGCATTATTTCCAGCATCTTTGTCTGTGGCCTTGACCCGAGCTACTTCGGAGTTGACAACCACATTCTCGAGAATTTGGACAACATATCTTTTCTCACTGAACTGAGGGAAGTTATCGTTCTCATCCTCCACTGTGATATGTACAGTGGCCGTAGCACTGCGTGGCCCAGGATCTCTACCTTGGTCATTGGCCTCCACTATAAGCTGATAGTGTGAGCGGATCTCTCTGTCTGGACGAATCTTGGTTTTTACCAAACCACTCCTTGGATCAATTTCAAAGACCTCGTTCACATTAGCCTCATTCACAATCTTGTATATCATATTGGCATTGGAGGGAGCATCTCCATCGGTGGCTCGGATCGTCATCACTTCAAAACCCACCTCTACATTTTCTCGGATGCTGACCCTATACTCACTCTGCTCGAACACTGGCCTGTGGTCATTTGTGTCACTGACCGTGATTGTCAGATAAGCTGTTGCTGACCTCCTTGGGCTCCCCTTGTCGGTTGCCATGACTTTAAACACATGGGTGTCTTTAACTTCCCTGTCTAAAGACTGCAGAGTTGTAATGCCACCTGTCTCTGGATTGATATGAAAGTAATCATTAGATCTGCTGTCAAACAGAGCATCCATGTCATATTCAAGTACTCCTGCATCTCCGTCATCCGTGTCAAAGGCTTTAAGCGTAATTACTCGGGTTCCAGGAGGCTCATTCTCAGGTATGGAAACCTGGTAATTGGGCAGCTGAAACTGCGGCGCTGAGTTGGTGTTTCGTTTTTTACGTCTAGCCCATGTGTCCTGCAACCAATGCTTGCCATTCTCGAACAAACCCAGAGTATAAGAGGTGTCAACTGGCGTGTTCAATAAAGCTCTGTACCCAGTCCGAATGTATTCTTTGTGGACCTTCCTGCCATCTCTTGAAAATGTTATTTTTTCAGCCCAGGCCCCCTTAGAGCCCCCTCCACCTTGGGGTCTTGGGTAGTCAGTTCCACTATTTCCCACAGTGTGACGCCCCTGCATGCCAAACTGCAGTGTTACTCCCAAAACTAACACACTTTCCCGTGAACTGGGCATAGTGCAGAGAAACCGGGCATCATGAGGCAGACAGCGCTCAGTGGTAAAGTTTATATGCCCAGTGTTTGTGTTCTCTCTCTCTTTCTCCTCGCAAGAAGCTCGAAGCGTTTGCGAGTCTCGCGTAAACTTGGGTAAATGTTCATGCAGAATTGTGGGCAATGTGCCCGAGCTGAAGCACTCCCCATTTCCAGAATGTAGATAAATATATGCGTCCGGTTTACGCTTCGGACCTTTCCTTCTGTATTTACTAAAGCAGTTCTGACCGTGAACAAACGTGTTGAAATGAATCAGCACAAAGTTTTCCGACGTCAGTGATGTGACCCTTAAGAACAGCGGGACTGCACGTCTCGCAAAGAGCGAACAGTGAAGTTTACGGGTGAGAGTCACAACTCCGTCTACTCTCCCAACCTGCACACAGTGTCCGAGCGAGTGTGGCGTTAAACTCCTGTCTACTCTGTACATCCATCCCGGTCCGAGAGAGGCGTTTACCAGCGCGACTCCAGGCTGAAGGGACTCCGAAATGTGTAGATCAAAGCATCCAT